AAAAAAAAAAAAAAAAAAAAAACAGACCTCTTGTATCCGGTTGGTTATTCAGTTGTGTAATTATGTGTTAGCTTTATTGAAATTTATCGTTTAAAAAAATTGAAATCATTGAGAGGAATAGTCACCAAATAAATTAAATTGACAGAGTAACAGAAATTGAAAATTAAATAAATTCAGTTGTGTAATTACTGATTAAAGCCCAACTTGACAACCATGTACTGTGATGTGAAGGCAAACATTGGGCGGGTTTAGTGGCTACACTGGGTAGAGAAGCATATATTGAAAAAAGCAAAAGTCCCTAGTCTTTTGGTCTGTTTTTAGTGGAACTTGCAATTTTATCACTTGAGCTTCTCAATGATGTCGGAATGCGTATTCTCTCTCTCTCTCTCTCTCTCTCTCTCTCTCTCTTCAATCGATTTAGGCTATGTTTGGTAAAACTAGCTGATAAGCTAGTTGATAGCTGATAATATGTAATTTTTGAGCTTATAGTTTATAGCTTATGACTTATAGCTGAAAAACTAGCTTATATAATAAAAATATTTGGTAAAATTAGTTGATAAGCTAGCTGAAATAAAAAATTCAACTAGCTTATTTGAAAAGCTACCTAAACAAGCTTATCAAATAAGCTCGAGCTTTTTAAATAAGCTCGTCCTACCAAACGAGGCTTATTTGAATACAAGAAGTTTATAAGCTAACCAAATAAGCTATAAGCTAGCTTATTTGGTTTACCAAATATAACCTTAGCGTTACTAAATAAACAAAGACTGTTTTAAGTAAATTTGCAAAGTTAGAATAAAATTGAGTGCAGTGATATAAATTAGCATATGGATTCATTAACAAATTTTACAACCTCAACTTGAAAAAAATATGAACCTCACGGATTTCAGCTCTATAAGTTCCATTGCTCTTATATTCTGTATGTTTGAACAACACAAAATCAACAAAGTTTGACACAAACAAGATTTAGCCTTGCAACTTTGGATCTGGCTCTATGGTTCATTATTTTATTCTATTTGCTGTTTTAGAACAATTATGTTATGTATTTAATATTTATAAACAATATTTTAGATACTACTAATTCAATATTTTGATTTTTAAACATTGGGTGTCGCTAGACTCTTATTGTGCAATTTTTTTAATGCATAATACATATTTATAAATCAAAATGTGCATTTTTACTGGTTGATACATCTACGGCGCTGGTGGCCGTGGACCTGTTTGAGAGCGTATATCATGAGGACGGGATGACCTAGACATGCATATTGCGCCGCTAGGGTGATTGAAATGTTCAATATGCTTTTTATTGTTATCTGAGATTGGGTTTGGGCATTTCTTACTGCTGGTCCAGTAGCCTCCACCAGTTTGTGCCACATGCGAATGTGCCCACTGTGGAGAGTGCCTAGCTGGGCAGAACATATGATATCGTTGCCACAGACCCAGTCACTAATTGGGGTTCCTCCTTAACTTTGTATGTTTAAAATCTTATGATTATTATACATTCTTATACTATTGAAACATGCTAATAATAATAGTAAAAATAAATAATTAATATGTACAATATTGTAAAGTTACATGTTTTATAAGCTCCGTTCTAAAAGTGGGCATAGGCCACTGTCTCCGATTTGTATAAATCAGCTGAAAAATCGGTCAGACGGCTGCTTAGGTGGACCTAGGCGCTCCTAGGCAGGCTCGGCGGCCAGGCGGCTCCTAGGAAGGGCTCAGCGGAAAATTTTCAGTTTTTTTTTTTTTTTATTTTATTTTTGTAAATACTAATTACACTATTTGGTTATCATGTTTTCTTTATAATATACTAATATTATTATTTCGACTTTGAGATAATTTTATTTTTTAGATAGTAAAAATAAATTAAAAAAAACAAGATATTTAGTATTTATTTTTAGGCCCCGCATAGACGCTTACTCGCTAGGCGTTGATCAAGCGCTTAGCGGGTGTCTAGTGACTTCAAGTGAACACTGTTTATGAGTAATGAGATATAGTCAATCCCCACAAGATCTAATTGAAATCTATTGTGTTGATTAAAAAAAAAAATAGGACCACCAACTCGATAGTCATTGGTTAATTCGAAAATCTTAGGTAGATCGATCAACCTGCTATAATATATCACGAACCCGACTTCCGGTTCACGGATATAAATTAACTCGATCGGGCGAGCAACCAAACTTCTTTAGTTCAAGAAAATAAATAGTGATCAATGAAATATAATAAACTGTGCATATATGTAAAGGTCCAACTCTAGTTTCTCGGGTCACGAGACAGCGACGTGCTCTCCACCTGACAACTCGGATCGGACCCCACCATTTCCAAACCCTAATTTCAATGGAACACACAACAATTATGCACACAATAATAAAGTGATTGATTATTAGAGGGTAGGATTGAATAGTCAGAAAATTAAAATAAATAATATAGGTTTAACTCTTTTGCTTGGCTTTGTTGCCACTTGCGATATCTATTGCAGTTTGTAATTAACCTTTTTTTTTTTTTTTTA